ACCTACCTTACACGATCAAATCAAAGCGAATTTTTCTTAGGCACTGTTTGTTCATCATCACATATATATTATATTAAGGAAGAGAGCAAGCCGTGCCATTTATAATTTTAAAATGGGTGCAAACATATCAGGTCTACAACCATACTATACTGATTTGCGAAGCAGATATATGACACCACATGTAGCAGGCATACATGTCTGAAATTGTGTTTTTGTATAGACTGGAAAATATCTGGCATCAGTATTACTAAACCGATCAAAGGATATCGCAACACAAAAATATTTTTCGTAACAACGACGACATCGAGTTTCGTATCAAAAGTAAATAAAGAAAAACCCCAAGCACAGGAAATTTTACTTAACTTTGCTTAATTCGAAGGATAGCGGTGCGCAATCAATAGGAGAGATAAGCAATGGACACGTAGCGATCAACGAACCTTCATTTACTAATGACGAAGACCAGATGAACCATTTACGTCGATGACAAAGCTGAGTGTTAGTGCTGGCGCCATATCCGTTGTCAACTGTGGGGAGGGGGGGGGATGTAATCCATTACGAGGCGTCACAGCCTGGTGAAGTTAATATTAAACGTTACTAAGTGCAATCAACTAATTTAAAGCGTTTACTGTCCAACAAACGTCCAGAATATCAAGAAAAGTAAGACAAGGTAATTTTTTAACAAGAAGTCTGTCCGTCTGTCCATCCATTCATCCATTTATCCGCATTTATGGCAAGCGCGATTTTTGACGGGTTATATATACTAAACTTAGATAATTTTGTCCGTCCGGCTTTCTCACTAAATTTGACTGTTTTCGGCTACCAATTGTTAGCTTCCCTAGGTTTACTTTTCTGGAAAAGTTAACATTCCAAGCTAATAGCGTAAATCGCTAAAAAAAAAGAAAAAAAGAAGAAATCAGCGAAGCAAGAGTTTTTTTATAATAAGTACAATTATCCTGTAGACAAAATTTCATTAAAAGATAGAGAAAAATAACCATTCGTCCGACAAATCATATCATCTCGTATCACGTATCATATCGTATATGATCTTATCATATTTAAAACTGTATACAAGTATAAGTCAAGTTGTAATAATTGCGAATAACTTCATGATTCGTCGTAACCGACTGCCCATTTCAAATTGCACATATTTATTAAAGAAATATTCAAAATCCAAGGGTCACGTTGACCACGCTGATTAGAAATTACGTTTCCACGCTTGTGTTATCGTTTGATGCAAATATTTTTCACTGGAGCATGCTTTTGATGTTTGCAAAACAGATATCAGCCATTGTGAGTGAGCACAATACTCCGTTGGAAAGCGAAGTCCTCATGCCAAAATTTTCATACAAAATAGTGAATGAACCTCTCAATGTTAATATCATGAAAACGTTAGCTATCTCTTGCAACTTCAAAAAAAAAATTCATAAAACTTTTTTTTCCTTGTACAACGGCCTGTTTTGGGTGTCGATGGCGTTCAAAATTGACGAAGGCATGACGCCCGTAGAATCCGATTCAAAACGAACCGATCACATACAATTTGTTGTTTTCGATAGACAAAAGTTCCCAGATATATTGTGGGTAACAAGAAAAAAACAATAACAAAAAAAAAAACAATGTGTGAAAGCGTAACTAATAACTATTAACTATGTCTCATCCATCGATCGACTATACATTATATCAATCGATTGCTTGCGATAGGTAGCTGAAAAAGATACATTTTTAATCAAAAATATTCCTTTATTTCAAACTTTATAAAATACCAATTTTTAATTATTATTATTATTTTCGATCGTTTTTCACGTTTTACTTTTCTTTAACAGCTCAAAACAAACCCAAAATGATGATGATAAATAATAATATAAATTTTATGAACTGGTTTTCTTGTTTCACTCAACAACTGCAACTCGGAAAAACACAATAGCAGCATCGCGTAAACAAACTGAACATTAAAAATAAATTAGAAACAAAAAAAAAAAAAAGAAGAAAACATTTACATAAAGTACTCTTTTAACCCACAAAAATACGATGCAAAACGCAAAATATCGCATAAAAAGAAATCTATAGTCATTTTATGACGACTTTTACATGCACATTATCATTCATTTGTAGTGTACATGTAAAATATGTATTAGTTAATCTCTCTTTAACATTCGAAATTCGCGTTAGACTAACTAAGATATGAATGAATGTATGGCGTATAAATGCGTGCCGTGCCCTATGTCTCCTCTCAACAGCTGGCTTTACCTCACCTGTGTGCTCGCAAGTAAAACGAATGAAATTTAATCTCATGTGCTGGGCTGCTGGTGACTATCAGTCATCATCAATTTGCAATTCAACTCACGAATGGCAGAGTGGTAGAGTGCAAGTAAAAGTCATTCAATAAGCCTATGCCTATGCCGTGCAATAGCGATCGTGCGGGCCGTACATTCTCGCATCTTAACGCCACGATTGGCAAATATGGCCTTAACAGTTTTACTCCATCAATAAAAATACGTACGAAAATAAAAAAAAAAATCCATTTCTATATACGTAGTTGCCATACAACTTCGATTTAAACATAAATTTGGATTTAGAAATACTCTAGAAGGGCTCTCTGACATATATTTTTTCGCGAAATCTCATTAATTTTTCATATTTAAATGTGAGCTGAGCGATATTAAAATCGTATAATATTGGGAGAGGAGGAACTACAAAAGACGGCGAGCTCTATATTTCAGGCTAATGAAAGACATCATTCGAACGATCTAATTGACAATTAAAATTTTGCGCTTAAAGATTAGTTTAGAAAATTTTCGTATATTTCATTTCATTCATACATAAATAATTTGAAATTTCCAAGAAAAAATTGAATTATGTCGCGGCTAAGGCGACCTATATACATGAATTTCTTCAACTTTCAACTTTATGGGCAGATTGAATGTCTATTTGATGTTGAAAAGAGAAAACTGAAAATATTAAAACAAAAAAAGGAAAAACCGACGACTTTATCTCTGACAAGCTAAGCTAAGTTCAGATGGTATAAGTAGATAACTTGTTGAGTTGAAATAAATACAATTAGGAAACAAGTTGTGAGCAGACTATACTGATTACTGATTATTGTCTTGACCGGTAATTGAATTAATAAAAATTATTTTCAAATTTCGTTGCAATTATGAGAAAAGAAAGAAAAAAATGAATGAATGAAATTTAAAGTATGATTAACAATTCATTTTCGTGATCAATAACTTACATCTAACAACTGGACAGATTCGCATCGCGAATGCTGATGCTAACGAGATGTTACAAATCATTTGACCAAACTAATTTATTTTGGTCGTCGTTTTTAACAGTAGCAACAGCAACAATAACAACAACAACAACAACAACAATAACAATAACAATCGATTTATATATGTTTAAGTGTATCTAACTGTAACTGTAACTGTAACTGTAACGTAACTAAAATGTAAACGAAAATGCATACGCGTTCTTCTGTTTATGTGTGTTTGTTATGTTTTTATTTTTCCCATTTCCGGTAGAAAGTACAGTTTTAACGTGAGCTGCTGACAAGTCTGCTTTTGTTCATTCCTATTGCACTTATAAAGTTGTTTTAGTGCAACTGCCGATAACAAGTGTTACTGCAGTTATTGTTATCGCAGTTGTTATTGTAGCATATTTTTTTTTTATATTTATTTATTTATTTTTTTTTTTTTGAGTGTTGTTAAAAATGTGAAACAATGCAAAAGTCCTAAATAAACAACAAATTTTTAGAGGCATTAAGTACTGCATTACAAAAAAAAACAAAACAAAAAAAAAATAAAATAAATAAATAAAAAAAATAAAAAAAATAAAAAACACGGCATCAACAACATCAGTAACAACGACCGAAAATGTTTAGTAAAATACGGCGACAAAATTTCATACCCATTGAGCATGAACAGCAAACCTTGAAAACAGCAACTGAAGCAACAACAATAAAATACACCAAAACAGCAGCAACAAAATACTTAAAATATCTTAATTTCTAAAGTTCAATGCAAGAAAAAAATGGAAAATGTAAGAGTTGAAAGAGAGAGAGAGAGAGAGAGAGAGAGAGAGATAGAGATGGAGAGAAAACGAGAGCAACGTGGAAATAAAGAACAAATGACAGAAAGACATTTCCAGGGAACAAAAAAAAAAAAAAAAAACAAAAAAAAAAACTAACAACTTTATCAGGCGATAAGTTGATTGGGTTTGCTGTGGCTGCTTAACTGTTCTTTATTTTTATTTTTTTTTTTTTCATTTTTTGTATGGTATGTGTATGTGTAAGCTTTTTACTCAAATAACAACGAAACAAAATGAATTTCATTCGTTGCTTTTTTTTTTTTTTTTTTTTTTTCTTTATACGATGTAGTTGTGCTGAAAAACGGCCACAAAATTGTTGTATCGAACGGATGTGGCCGCTTGGTTGGCTAGATGGTAGTTGCACATTTTCAATACAGTACCAAACCCAAAACAACTTTTTGTAATATTAGACGGCAATAAGGATATATGTCAAATATCGTAGAAGAGGAAATTGAAACTACAAAAATGTAGTTTGTTCAGTATTTCATTTTTTTTTTGATTACTTTGTATGTGCAAGTGTGGGGGTGCAATAGCATTGATAAGAGTTTGAAGCAATGGAAAAATTTGAAGCATTTGCCAAAATTTGCAGCAATAACCGACCACTGATATTATTGAGGTCATTTCTTAAAAGGTCAATTGTAAATATTTATTTAGAGTAGAACTTATTAACAACAATAGAATATTTTTCGTTTCCATTTGACATGGCAAACATTATAATTGTTTGCCTTTCGGATTGTATGTCATGTTCATATCATCAGATTTTTTTTTAAATTTCATAGATTTGGCTGTTGACGAACTCAAATTTATTGCAAATTCAATTTTTCTATTATTTCTTTTATCATTTGCAGGGAAACTCTTCCACAGCAGCTGCCGCCACTGTTGCAGCTGCCGTACCACCGCCACCACCGCGAAACGTTTTCCCTGGAGCTGCACCACCAGCTCCAACCGTCTCATTAAAGGGGATTCCACGACCGCCAGCCATGACTAGTCCAGCGACTGCAGCTGCAGCAGCAGCCGCCGCAGCAGCGGCTGCCGGTGGCTTAGCCGGTGCTCCGTATCGCGGTGCCAGTTGGACACCTCAAGGCTATGCACCGGCTGCAGCCGCAGCAGCTGCTGCCGCTGCTGTAGCGCAACAATATCGATATACAGCACCTTTACCACAACCAACTTATGCGGCCTATACACCGCATACCACAACAACACCAGCGACAGCAACGGTAAGCTTCATAATATTAAAATTCTCATTGATGTTAACATTGATATTAAAAACTACTTACGACAGATAGCTTTCCAAAGCTATCCAAATTAAATTGCACTGCTGATGAACTGCCTTTCGAACTTTCAAAGTGTACTTTACGAAATGCGAATCTCGCTTATTCCATTCCTTCTATATATCAATTATCAATTGAATTTATTACTACTGCATATACTATGTTAATTACTAACTTGTTAATCAGTTCGTTGTTGGACATGAATTAGAATGGCTGAAACGCACACACAAACCAGCTTTGTTGAGCGTTAGTTTAAAAAATAATCGACATTTCAAGCACCTCTTACTGTCACTTACACTTGTTGTAAGCAATTGCGGCCACGACAGCCGTGACAGCGCGGATCATGTAACACCGATTAGGCCGTAAACGGTATAAGTTGTATTATAAGCAAAGAGATTTTTATTGCCGACTACAATTTGCTCCAATCTCTTGCGGTTTGGTATTTATTGGAATTTTGTCACCAAACCAAACTCAACGGTTGCCACAAATATGTCCGTCTTAACGCCTGCAGATTTTTTCAATCGAACATAAAGATTTCTTCGATTAGCCATTTACCCTACATACCACACTTACATCATTATGCGTTTTTCTAATGAGTGCATGTATCTCGATTTCCGATTATGTTATGTGGTCGATCATCATATTACTTCTTAAATCGTAGCTTGCAATTTTTAGGGTGTTCAGCTTGCCAGAACTTAATTTGTCGCCAAATATTCATGATTGCGGCATCATTTTTTAAAAAAGATGTGCCCGTGAATCACTTCAGAAGTTCAAAGCGAACACGTCCCCAAGAGATCAGTAAATAAATGAAACTAAGTGAGATATGTATTCCTGGGTTATTTACTACTTGGTGCTAGCATTTTGTACAAAATAGTCACTCAATGCTTACAAGTGTACAACGTCTTACTTGTTTTGTGTTTAAATAAAATTCTACCTGAAGTATTGTTTACCTTACAGTTCAGTACTGGCCATTGGAGCAGGCCGACTTTAGGAATGGCTTTCTTTATGAAATAGCCGAGCAGAACTAAACTGATAACTAAAACCCTTATATAACGAGGGTCACTTTAAAAGATAATTTCATTTTTTAGCTTTCGCGATAGTCGGTTCCATACATCAAAGACTACTGCTGTTCTTCTGATGTGTATAACGCATTCATGGCCTTTTAAAAAACCCTCTATAATAAAGTATATTATAACAGTAATAATAATAATAATAATAATAATAATAATAATAATAATAATAATGAAAAAGGAAAGAGAAAGAGTTGTTAAGAGGCAAATAGAAAATAGAAACGGATTTTAAATGCCAAAGATTCTTCCTCAACTTGTACATAACAATGTCGATAATGATGATGATGATGATGATGATGATGACGATGATTATAACAGTAGCATGCTTTTTAGTGTTAGATGTAGAGTTTTCATGAAATATTTTTTGAAATAAAATTTACGAAAATGTGTTGATTGACTGAATGACTGACTAACTTATAGATGAACACTGTGCAAGGTACTTAACTTTCTCCCCTCCCTACATTGATTCAGTATAATCTACTCTACTATATAATGACATAAAGTACTTATGCCACTATCATCATTCGTTCTTCTTTTTATATACGCGTGTGGAAGAATTTAAAACTTCAATGGCATTTGTGCGTGTGCAGTCATGTAGATGAGTGAATATTTCCGATTTTATTGTGAATATCAAACGAAGTACGTCATACTATACCCATGCGTTGCGAATGTGAATGCGAATGTGATGTAATGTAATGAAATGAAATGAAAGTCATTTTGCTTAAGTAGTTGTTTCCGCATAAAGACAAATCCTTAACGTGCAATGAGGTATAAATTTTAAATGTGTACATATATACTTGCTTATACTTATGCATATATATGTATCTGATAAAACGCATAACTTTTGTACGTTTTCTATACTAAAAGGGAAACATTTCCCTCGCACGCTGACATATATTCGATTTTTTATTTTTTTTTTTTTTTGTTCGACGTAAGCAGAAGCCAACAAATAAAAATCGCATTGATTCTTCTAAAATTAAATCTGATTTTATATGTATATATATATATATATATATATATATATATATATATATATTATAAAAACATATTAAAAAGACCCAAGAATATTACTGTGTTCTTTATGGCCTCGTTCTTTTCCGACATCAATACCATTTTATATCTCATGCATTCTATCGTAAATACGATGAGAGATTTTAGGAGGACGATCACATAAGGATATCTTTGCGAATATATAATAGATATATGCTTTTGCCGAGATTGAAGCGTATTCACAGCAGATATGTTGTTGCTCAACTTTCTATTAAAAAAGGGTTTCTTTATTTTATCTCATAGCCCGCTTTGAATACTAGTATGAAGGGTATGGATTAATATAATGCGCATTCTGTTTTCTTTCATTTCTCTAAAGATTTCACACAAAATATTTTTTCTTTTTTTTCTTTTTTATAGTTAAAAAGAGTATAAACGTATTTCAATATTAGCCACAAAAACTTGTAACAGAGTTACGTTTCGTATACGAAAGGAACGTTTGGTGTCTACTATGCTTACCATCCCAGAGATTGGAGGTAAATATTTGCACCATTCCACATGAGTGGCCGAGTAGGCAAAGGATAACGTTTAATAACTTAAAGGTCGCGGCTTCAAATTTCAAGTGTGTCAGGGTTTTCAACCCAAGACGAGCATACAATCTAAACCATCTATAAATTTACAGATACATAATTATTGCGGATACTCTAGAAAGTATGTATACTCTTGATAAGTACCAAATTCCTAATCGATCTAGGTATGCTCGTCTGATTGTCTGTGTAAATGTTTGTTGTAAAAACTCTCGCGATCGCATATATAAAGTTATTGCCTTCAATTTCTAGCATAAGCATTCAAAGTTTTTGCACACATTTCAGTATTGAAAGTAAGACAAATCGGCCAAACGATAGGCTTATAATACGATATGAATTGAGAAGACCTCTGCCTAAAAAAAAAAAAAAAAAGAAGAAAAATATTGGTCTTTTACTTCTTAAGTATAAACTACAACGAATGGTATAATAATGAGTTGCATCGTATCTTGCATGCGTTGCCTTAAAGTACCTGAACGAAAATGAAAGAGTTGAAGCAAGCATCCAAGACTATAAAATATCGAGTTTCTATTTTTCCCCTTTCTATTCGGAATATCTTTTAAATAATGGTGGTGGGTGTAAAAGGTGAACGCGCAGCCGAATGTTTCCTTTGCAATCGTGTTACATTCCAAAGCATTAGGAACTGCTTTATAGTATTCTAGCTGAATGGATACTTAAATGATGGTGAGAATTAACAATATATATATATATATATATATATATATATATGGGGTGACATACCTATCAAATGAACGTATTATTGAACCTAAACATGAAAAACATTCGATTCCATTTTTGCATGCCACTCTAAATAGATTCCAAAAGGTGCCCGTAGAAATTCCCAACTAACGGCGACGCTGTCCACGTGATTAATTCGGATTACCAACAATACTCAACGAGTATAGCCGAATTTATCCGTTTCGTTGATCCAGAAGCACAATTGATAACAATCCTGGGTATAAGTTGGTTTCGATTGATTACCGATCGGATCTTTATAATTAAAATCGTAAATTGATTTTTTAAATATTTTTAATAAACATTTTACTAAAAAGCGATTTCTTAAGTAATCCAATAAAAAAAAAAAATAAAAAAAAATAATTGGTAACCATTTTATAAATTATGTAAGAAGCACATGGCATCAAGCAAATAAAAGTGAGTGCGCCCTTTTTTAGACCCAATACAAACATCGCATCGTACTATCGTATATCTCGTTTATTTTAACTCGTTCGCATATTTTTATAGCACTTAGTAGCATTTTGCATATCTTGATGTGGACAAGTTTTTAAGGAAAAATTTAAGTACGCATTAAAAGTTATAAACTAAAATTCGAAAACTATAAATTTCTCAATTTCTAGGCGTAATCGTAATGTCAAAGGAAACGGGCAAATAGCGGCATCCATGCTATTCAAGAGTGTATATATGTATAACGCCGCGACAAATCTTTCGAGCAAAAGAATTCTTTATTCATTTAATAGATGCTTTGCAGTTTGTAGAATATGTGGGAAAAATTCGTTATCTGTAAGAAATTCCTTTGCTTAAAATTTCCGCTTTTCTTTCAAACCGCTTCGAAAATTCCAATCTTTGCCCCTGGGCATCTATAGCCTAATCTCTTATCTATTGACTCTCAACCTTTCTAATACCGGCTAATATAGGCTATACTTTTAAAAGGCACAAACATTCATTTAAACCCATTTAAAATAAAAGTATGTTGCGTAGCTTCGTATTGGGTCGACCATTGCGTGGACATGAGGCTGAGAGCGTCTCTAAGACTTTCAATACTTCTGAAACGAAATTATTGATTGTGTTGTTGACGGTGAATTCGGCTAAAGAAATCGAAAATCGAAAAAAACATAGTTTCGAGGAAAAAACAATTTAAGGCTTTAATCTAATGTTGAACGTTACGATAAATCCGGCCGGCTATATAAGTGAGTACTTATACCTTCTATACTGTAGAGTACACATATATTCGAGTGCTATTGCTAATGTATAATATAAATATCCTGGACCTTGATGATCGTTAGACAATACCTGAAGATACAAGTTCCACGGAAAAAATAGGTTGCAAGAGTAAGTTCCAGATTTCTGAATTTCAGATTTGATTTAATTGTAGGAGCCATTCTAACGATCGACTTGGCAGATTTACCTGAATTTCTCGTAATTTCAACTAAATTTACCGCCTTTTTCTTTCGAAACATCCGGCATTCATGGCAACCTTAAAAGACGGGCACACACCCTTGCATTGACTTCGATTGTGCCATTTTTGGGGACTACAAACATTTTTGACGAATGCGCAATATCACACATA